CTCCTGGGTTCAAGTGATTCTCCTGCCTCAGCCTCCTGAGTAGCTGGGATTATTCCTGTTGTGCCTGCCACCATGCCCAGCTAATTTTTTGTATTTTTATTTATTTATTTTCTGTTTTTTGAGACACAGTTTTGTTCTTGTTGCCCAGGCTGGAGGGAAATGGCACAATCTCGGCTCACTGCAACCTCCACCTCCCGGGTTCAAGCAATTCTCCTGCCTCAGTTTCCCAAGTGTTAGGATTACAGGCATGCACCACCATGACCAGCAAAGTTTTTGTATTTTTAGTTATTTATTTCTTTTCTTTTCTTTTTTTTTCGAGACAGAGTTTCGCTCTTGTTGCCCAGGCTGGAGTGCAATGGCATGATTTTGGCTCACTGCAACCTCCGCCTCCCAGGTTCAAGCGATTCAGCCTCCCGAGTAGCTGGGATTACAGGCGTGTGCCACCATGCCTGGCTAATTTTTGTATTTTTAGTAGAGATGGGGTTTCCCCATGTGGCCAGGCTGGTCTCAAACTCCTGACCTCAAGTGACCAACCCACCTTGGCCTCCCAAAGTGCTGGCTGGGATTATAGGTGTGAGCCACCTCACCCAATCTAATTCCTCTAGTTTAATTCTTGCAGGTAGGTATTCTTGTGAGAGGAAATAGAGCTTAGAGTGTAAACTTTAGAAGGGCTAATGATTTCCCTGGACCACACAATGGAATAAAGCAGGATTTGAAAACAGGCAGGATGGCTCCTTTTTTCTTTTTTGTCTTAGAGACGGGAGCAGGGGGGGTGTCTTGCTGTCACCCAGGCTGGTGTGCAGCGGTGTAAACATGGCTCACTGCAGCCTTGACCTCCTAGGTACAAGCTATTCTCCTGCCTCGGCCCCCTAAGTAGCTGGGACTACAAGTGTGCACCACCACACCTGGCTAATGTTTGTATTTTTTGTAGAGACGGGGTTTCGCCATGTTGCCCAGGCTGGTCTTGAACCCTGAGCTCAGGTAATCTGCCCACCTCGGCCTCCCAAACTGCTGGGATTACAGGTGTGAGCCACCACACCTGGCTCTGGGATCTTATTATACTTGAGGGGCAAATGAAACATTTCCAGGTGAGGGGTCTGTGTGTTTGTTACAGATGGTGTGGTATCATGGAGGGATAGGCTGAAGAAAGTGGAGAGAGGATGAGATTCATTTATCCAACAGCGTTCACTGAATGCCTGCCGCATGCCAGGAAACATGTAGGGTCTACATGCCAGGCACTGTGCTGGGCACTGGGGATGAGTGATGAGCAGGGTAGACAGGGCACCAGTCCTCCTGGAGCTTAGTCTAGCACAGGAAGGGGCATTTATGTCAGGAAAGGGTGGGCCAGGGGAGAGGGAAGCTTAGCTCCCAGAGGAGGAAAGCTTCTTCCTGAACCTGGAGAGGGCCCAAGGTTAAGATGAGATGGAATTATCAGGAGGAGGAGAATTTTGGTAGACGGGAGACCTCAGGAGGGGATAAGGATGTGTTAGTTACTAGAACAATTCTTTTTTTTTTTTTGAGATGGAGTCTCACTCTGTCATCCAGGCTGGAGTGCCGTGGTGCAATCTGGACTCACTGCACCCTCCACCTCCCAGGTTCAAGCAATTCTCCTGTCTCAGCCTCCCAAGTAGCCAGAATTACAGAAGCATGCCGCCACGCCCAGCTAATTTTTTGTATTTTAGTAGAGACAGGGTTTCACTGTGTTGCCCAGGCATCCCAAAGTGCTAGGATTATAGGCATGAGCCACCACGCCCTGCCTAGAACAATTCTTATTTGGGTCACAGAACCCTTTGAGTATCTGACGGAAACTACAATCCTCTCTCCAGAGAGGTGCACACAGACACAGGATTTAATGAGCTCCTGCTGTCTGAGGCAATAGGTTAGGGGACCAACTGCATAGTGGGGAGGTCATCCCGGCCTTGCGTTTCTCCCCAGCCGTTCAGCCAGTCTCAGATGAGCAGGAAGAGGCTTGGCAGTCAGGCCCTGAGATACCTGCGGGTTCCTAGCCAAGAGGATCGCTCCTGTTTCCCCACCTCCCAACTCCCTTCTCCTCACTTACGCCATCCCTCGGGGCTGACATGGGTCTCCGGTCTGTTCGGCAAGAGCTGAGGCTTCAGAGCTGGGCACAGTGGCAGAATCCACCACAGCTGAACTCCTGTTTGTACCTTCTGAAGGGTTTTGGTCTCTCCCAGCCTCAGCAGGACCTGAAATGGTTTTGCTCGCAGGCTGTTTGCTTCCACTTTCATTTCGGTGAAATCCCTGCCCTCTGGTGCTCACATGCTGCCGCCTGCCGAGGTTTCCCCACCCCTGGGAGGAGCATTCTTGGTCATCAAAGTTGACTTCACTCAGCCGTGCTCCCTCAAGGGAAGCCACCTCACAGCAACTGCAAACTGGTCCCAATCAACCATTCCCAGGCAATCAATCTCCAAGAAGCACATTGTTAGACCCTGTTTTGTCAATAGATTATTTCTGTAGAGCCTAGAATAATGCTGGGCACATCCCACATTGTAAAGTAATTGCTGAATGAGCTGGAGCGGTGGCTCACACCTGTAACCCCAGCACTTCGGGAGGCCCAGGCGGGCAGATCACCTGAGGTCAGGAGTTAGAGACCAGCCTGGGCAACACGGTGAAATCCGGTCTCTACTAAAAAAATACAAACATTATCTGGACATGGTGGTGCATTCCTGTAATCCCAGCTACTTGGGGGGCTGAGGCAGGAGAATAGCTGGAACCCGGTAGGCAAAGGTTGCAGTGAGCCAAGATCACACCATGGCACTCCAGTCTGGGCGACAGTGCAAGACTCTATTTGAAAATAATAATAATAATAATAATAATTGGTGAATGAATGAGAAACACAATCAGGACAGATAAAGCCCATAGTTCAAGTTCACAAAACTGTAACAGTGGCTAGCACAGAGAGCTATTATGTGCCCAACAACCTTCTGTTTTACATAAATTAACTCTTCAAAACAATGCTATGGCCGAGTGCGGTGGCTCACACCTGTAATCCCAGCACGTTGGGAGGCCGAGTTGGGCAGAACATGAGGTCAGGAGGTTGAGACCAGCCTGGCTAATATGGTGAAACGCTATCTCTACTAAAAATACAAAAATTAGCCAGGCATGATGGCATACACCTGTAGTCCCAGCTGCTGGTGAGGCTGAGGCAGAAGAATTGCTTGAACTTGGGAGGCCGAGGTTGCGGTGAGCCGAGATCATGCCCCTGCACTACAGCCTGGGTGACAGTGCAAGACTCTGTCTCAAAAAAAAAAAACAAACAAACCATGAAGTGGGTTCTATTTTCTTCACTTTACAGATGAGAAAATTGAGGCACAGAGAATTTAAAACTTGCCCAAGATCACAGGGCTAGGAATCAGAGAAGCACGGATCCAAAGCTGGTAGGAATAGTATTTGAACTTGGGCTTTGAGGTACAATGGAGAAAACTTGCTGTATTTTTAGTCAAGTGTTTTAAATTCAGCCCCATTTCTGTGACCCTGAGTAAGCTACTTAATAGGAGTCTGTCTCAATAAAGATGCCTTAATACTTAGGTGTGAGAAGATTCTTTCTTTCTTTTTTTTATTTTTTATTTTTTTATTTTTTGAGAAGATTCAAGTTTAAAAGTTTCCTGGCCAGGCATGGTGGCTCATGCCTGTAATCCCAGCACTTTGTGAGGCCGAAGACAGGTGGATCACGAGGTCAAGAAATGGAGACCATCCTAGCCAACATGGTGAAACCCCGTCTCTACTAAAAATACAAAAATTAGCTGGGCGTGGTGGCACGTACCTGTAGTCTCAGCTACTCTGGAGGCTGAGGCAGGAGAATTGCTTAAAGGGAGGCGGAGGTTGCAGTGAGCCAAGATCATGCCACTGCACTCAAGTCTGGTGCCTGGTGATGGAGCAAGACTGTCTCAAAAAAGAAAAAGTTTTCTAATGAGGCCGGGCGTGTTGGTTCACACCTGTAATACCAGCACTTTGGGAGGCCGAGGCAGGTGGATCATGAGGTCAGGAGTTCAAGACCAGCCTGGCCAAGTTGGTGAAACCCTGTTTCTA